AAGGGAGACTTGCGAGGTTCCCGTCGAGCTCAGAATACTCACTATGTTTTTTAGGATCTACTATGACCCTAGATGAAGGATCCATTCATATTTACGTTCAAAACTTATATTTCGCCTTGTGCTGCAGCGCCAAACTTAAAAATTCGCATTTTCGACCAAGTTCGCACAGCCATAACTTTTGCAGTTTCTGTTAGATTTTCAAGATTTTGTACTTAAATTGATCATAAGCCCAAATTTTAGAGAAAAAAGTAAAAACCAATTAATTTTAATTTTTACGATATTTTTAGATTTTTTCGACGAACTGCTATGTCTAAGAATTTTTGCGAAAATTTTAAAACCCAAATTTTTAGAAAAATTTCGTTATATGTATTTGAAAGTTGAACGCGTCCTGGATTTCAAAAGTTATGACGGTTTTAAAATTAAAAACAATTAAATTTGGCGAATTCTGCGCGTCGGCACGCGGCCATATATAAGTTTTGCACGTAAATATGAATGTATCCCTCATCTGAGTAGATTACAAAAAATATGGTGGGTACCCTGGACACGACGGGCACCTCGGAAGTATGCCTCGTTAGAAATCCTTTGTGGGAGCCTTTCTGTGTGCGGTCCGTGGGACACCTTGCTACGCAGGGTATTATAAGGCAAATTAAGTTGTTTTTTAACTAACGGGGACGACTGGTGCAAATTTTGATACCTTCAGGTTTCGAGCACTCGATATCTCAGAAGCAAGATGCGTTATACATATATTCTAGAGGGTGTTCCGGAAGTAATGCAACTTTGGTAAAATGCATATATGCAAGGGTATCAATTTGCCCCAAATTCGAAATTGGGTGAATATTGTAGTCCACACATTTATCTAGTAGAATCCGAAAACCAGAAGTCGATATCTATATCCGTTCCAAAATGAGGTCAAATACCACCAAGCAACTCGCAACCATCGTCTGCCACTACCTCGAAAAAGTGGTTACGCGCTCCAAGAAATTGAGCTGTGTTCACTTTAAAAAATAAGAAATTCCAAAAGTGACGATTTGTTGTGTTATACTAAGGTATGAGCTGCAAAAAACGACTAATCGCAAAAAATATCTGGTCGGTACATTCGTGTGGCAGCCCCGAAAGTAATAAACTTCGTGTAGATAGAAATTTGTTATGTCGGAGCGAAATTCGCTGAAGTACTTGAAGTTCTCACCGAACACCATACATTATTTGAAAGCTTAGAAGTTGGACATCAAATCCTAGAAGGTTCTAGAAGCTTATAAATATAGTCAAGAGTAAAATAAAAGTAGCAAGCAGGAGGGCAGAAAAAATCCTTGACCTGAAGTAATTAAAATTAACCAAAATTGATCGTCCTGTACAAGACGATTTACTGCTCAGATTATCAAAATGCTTTTATTTGCACATAGTACAACTCTCCCACCTTCAAGAAAACCATTTATGCAAAACTGGAAATTAAATATAAGCCAAAGTATCACGCTCCGCCTTAAAACGGATCAAATGCAATTAACATGGGAGAGGTAACATGGGAAACGTTCCCAAATTTGTCAAATACAAGACCTATTGAAAAATTTTAGTTCCTATCCTAGAAAAAATATTGTAATCGAAAAACTTCAGTCAAAAATTTGAACTTATTTCAACACATGTGGTCAAAAATCTCAAAAAAGGTGACCAAAAACAGTGGCGAAGCACTAATTGTGAGCGCCCAACAAAAACGTCTCCAAATTTGGCGGAAGGGGTGTACGGACCATTGGAAGCAAAACTTAATTAGCTTTAACCTTTGTCCCTTTCTGACCAAAATTTCGCTTTAAAAAATTCATTCGTTGAGTTTATATGTGCATTTGACCAAAGTTGCATTACTTCCGGAACACCCTCTAATTCACGTTCAGTGTGTGAATTTAAGTCTAACCATTTAGTTGGATATATTCAAATCATAACTACAAATTACATTTAAATTGTCTTGCTCGACTGTCGTCATAAAATTTTAATGTTGAAATGGAGCACAGCACAGGCAATCATAAAGTATATTGATCTTAAAAATTACAAAAAATCAATTTTTAGCGTATGTAAAACCTTGCAAATATGTTAATACATAATATCATAATAACCAAATATCCCTTTACTCAACTTTCGTTCCATACTATAAAATGTACTCATTCCTTACAGGCAAAAAATCGTACATGATCCTTCCCCTACAACGATAATCTTAATTCCTTAACTTGTCTTCTGTGTCATTAGAGCAGTCACAGTATAATTTAACATTAACGAAAAATATTCCGTCCTGTTCAACCTGCAACATTTGTACAACTTTAAGCCAAGTATTTCCCCGTGAAAACTAATCGATTGCATCGTGCGGAACCTCCGCTTAGCATAGTTAATTCCGCTACTGCGGCTAATATTTAATCTACACTTTTTCAAAATCCCATTCGTTGTGTCATTGATGGCGACAAATAATGACAAGATGACTTGAATCGATATCAAGGGAAATAGTCCAGCGGCGGGGAAAAATAAATATATTGACCTTGGAATTTGACTCCTCAGTCGGATAGAGGTGTAACTTGATACAATCGTAAGTACAAAAACTGTAGTTAACGCGGTCAGTATTATTCCACTGAATTTTAAGGATATTCCAATGGCGCTAATTCTGATGGAATTATAATCCAGAAAATACTTGTCAACCAACCGGCGCAAATGGCTCCCAACCCGAAAAGCCGTCTTGTTCATGTGGTTTAAACAGCTTAGGCTCAAGGTACCAATTACAGTTCCGGTTAGAGTAAGGAAACACAAACTGCGGGTCATTTGCATGACTGGATATATAATGGACGCCCATAATAGTAAAGTTGCGACAAGGATAGATTCCACTGACTAGGCATGCAATACGTTATAATTAACCAGACAGGATCCAATCTAATATCGAAAACCAAAACGACCCTGACAATTATCCAACTACCAAATGTGTTAGCGAGAAATATAATCCATCCGAATACACCGAGTCGACCCCAAGTGACGGTTTGATGAGGTAAAGGGTGTATACCTGAGACATTGCAAAAATGGTTACTGATTTAGAAATTGTGACGAACTTAAAAAATTCCGTCACCCAACCAAAAATATTAAAATAGTAAAACAGGTATGCCTGAGCCCACTTGAACTTACGTGATTGAATATGGGCGTCAACTCTTTTTAAGTAGTTGATGTAAAATTTGAACTCGTCACGATGGCTCGAAAATGACCATTCCGCTACAGAGACTAATGTTACTACTAACAAGATCAAAATGGTAACTAGTACCTCGAGAAGATCAAGACTGACGAGACACAATGATTGAACAGTCAAAAGTGTAATACATGCTAAAGGGGCGAATCCTAAAGCTACAATGGATACAAAGTATGGTAGGAACTTTGTCGATTTTGCATGTGCAATGTACTCTTGTCTCGAATGGTCCCACTCGAATGGGTGTGGCCAGAAGTGGGCATAATACTTGGAATATGAATCAAGTGAAGACCACATTAGCTGTGTTACGATCATTTTTTATGATCGCTAGATTAATTTAATACTTTCAGAGGGCATTTATCCGCCCGAAATTGTTAGAAGGTTCGCTAAAGCAATATGTTCTCTTGTTAAGATGCACAATAATTCTACATGAATTTAAACAGATTTAACATTAGAAGTTCTTTGAAGTTTACCATGGGTATTTTTGACCGAATGAGTGAATGGCTGCTTTTCAAATGTCAAGTTACTTGCATACGTGCTAAATTCTAAAAACTGGAGACATTCCAAGAATAAAATTAGGTTAAGGATTTTGGCAATTTATTTAGGATCATGACGCCAATATGGGATACCAATTCGAGCCCATATTGCTAATTTTTCGACGTTCCAACTTGATTAACTCCAAAACTTAATTAAACTATAGTTATTTAGGATTTCATTTAATTTCTTGATATATATATATATATTTCTTGAATTACAGTTGGAAATTTTTAGACACGCAACAATTGGAATCAATTCTATAGCGAAACGCGTCAGCATGGCTAAGCATGCATAAATTGATGTATGAAACTGCATGTAGGACGAGGATATTAATATAAATTTTTTGCTTGTGTCTTAAAACTGCGTATGGACGAACATAAGTTGGCAACGGGATAGTTATAAAACTGGGTAATAAGGAATGACGAAGAGGACTTATGGGTCAGTATGACAGCCATCATATAGATAGGACTTCTAAAAGATGCATAATTCATTGTTTGTTTGTTTGCTTGTTTAGCATTTATTCATGTGTTATTTCTCAATCAAGTACATGAAATGACTGATGGAGTGAGGAAAAAAACATGCAAAAATAAGAGAAGAAATATTACGCTTGTTCTCACTCCTAAAAATTCAGAAAGTATGTTTGTATCCTTACTTGCATGATGTTCCACACGATAAGGAATATATGGACAAACAAACAAACTACAAACAAAGCTACATTTCTTATCGTGTGATGATGTTCGACATATTTCTCATAAACTGTGATGATTTAATTCGTCCCGATTTTCCTAAATACTTTCCTATGTATTAGGGAATTTCCTACGTACTTTACTAGGTACTAGGGAACTTCAAGGTTCAAATTTCGAGAAAATATCCAAACATGGTAGAAGTATTTTCACAAAATTACAAAAACAATAATTTGTACTTCCACCCACCCGTTCTGGAAATATTTATCTGCGCTCCTATATGCACTACGTACCCCGTGTTATAAATCCATAAGGCCCCCTGGGTAATTTCTCCCGGAAAAAAATTGGTTACGTCATTACGCTGAATGATACAATTCTTACTCAATGTGTAAAATTGGCCGGAATAAAATTTAACCGGGTCTGAGCACTCAGTTTTTGGATTTTAGCCCATGCTATCAAAAGAGTATTTACGGTAAGTAGAAAACAGAAATAATTTTACGAACCCTTCCGCCTGGCGAGCAGTTTTGTTTTTACGTTGTATAATTGTCGAGAAATTAAAATAGGTATCAAGAATAATAGAACTTTGTTTAAGACAATTTATTGCATTAATTCAAGCAAGATTTACCGCATTCTGGAAATTAGGGACATATGTAGATGCAAATTAAATATTACGTAACCATGCTAATTGCAATTTTTAATCTTTAATTTTCTAGCTGAACATTAATTACCTTTATATAATGGACTCGTAATTATTTAAGACAGCATTTCAAAAGTATATATATATACTTGAAATGCAAATGGTACATATATGTAGATTAAATTAATGGATGAATTAATCCAAAGAGGTTTTTTAAACTGTCGTTTAGATTTTCCATTTTCTGGTGGATTTCCTTAAATTCGATTGTACCTCATGGCAGACCTGCTCCCATCGTTTTTATCGTAATGTCTCTCCTTAATGATTTGAATTTCTTTGAGGTAGAAGCCTTCCAATTTTTTTCCGGGAACGGGCAGCCGATCCGACCACTTCCAGCCGGGCTTCTGTTCTACCAAAATGTCGCACTCGGCATCTCCATTTGCGGTCAGGAAGTAGCCCAAGCTTTGACGGATCTCTTTCGCCTTTTCTTTAATCAGTTGGACACGGTGGAGCTGTGGAATAAATCAGTTTCTTGTACAAGATATAAAAATATTCGGAATTTTAATTTTAATGATAAGAGAGTCACAAATTTGTGCCTTGGGAGGATCATGTTTAGCTGTCCTTTAAGGGTGAATCGGATCAGCGTTTTCAGAAACCCGACCGGTTCGGATTGGCGTTTTTAATTTTCACAAATATCCGACCCGATCCCTTTTTAAATTTGAAAAATAGCCGATCGGTTTTTTTTATTTAAAAAGTATCCTACCAGATCGGTTTTTTGAAGTTGGAAAATATTCCCCGATTTTGGGATTTAAATAAACAGAATAACGGGATTTGAATTTAAAAAGTAAACATCCAAGTCAAATCTGCCAGATTCAACTACTTTAGAAAAGTAGTTGAATCCTAACTAAATACAAATACCATTTGCAAAAAAATTGTAGTTAACTAGTAGTTACATAAATGTGGCCAACTTCTACACCACTCAAATCTGGCACTAGATTCAGATTACTTATTAAATCTGACCACAAATGACGCATGCTTACATATTTTAGTATTTAAAATGTCCATACCACACCAGGAATGCGTCCACCCGTCCATAATTCCAACGAGAGACCGGCATTAACCACGAGCGCGCCCGGCACGTGGGGAACCGGGATGTAGACTCCCGCCCCGTTTCGAGCCTCCAATCCGCCCGCCTCGTCCTGCACGAGAAACGTGAGCGTGTCCCCGTCCGGATGTTCCGGTAAGCGGAGATGATCCGGACCTATCGTCGCAAGATCGTCGTCCGTCATTGCGTGGTAAAACCGAGTCTTCATGTCGGCCCAGCTGTCACGACTTCCGGTATCGTCGAAACAGTCGGAATGCAATTTTATCAAATATTCTGCGTCGTCCAGACCAAAATGGAGGCCGAGTGCGAGCAAGATTTTTTTCGAGAGGGTGGTCGCCTTGCCGATGAAGGTGGTCATGGCGGGGAAAAGTTGCGGCGTTTCGGACGGGTAGGCTGACTGGAGGTACATTTTATTACCCGCCAAGGCTAATTGTTCCTTAAAGTCGCCGCGTGGTGGGGCATACCCGTGGCGAAGGTGGGCCTGGTCGAGACGGGTGTAGGGAGCTTTTAAGGAGGCGGGGAGTTCGAAGAAGGCCTTGCTCGCGGTGAAACAGTCAGTTATCTGGAAGATAAGAAAGGAAATTTAAAGTTTTTGGGAAGAAAATTTGGGAAATTGTTTCTCTGAAAGTATGTAAAAGAGTGTTGAGGAAAGTAGTTCGTGTATTAAGGGAAGGTGACTACTTTATGGGAATGTCTGTCTGTCTGACCGACCGCTTTTGGGGCGATAATTTTAGCACCAAGTCATTAGACCAGCAACTTCATTACGGTCGCGACACATAATTTTTGAACTTCCCATTATTCATAAAATCCTCTGTGTTTTCACCACTTTGCTACATTTTGGTTGATACGTATTAAATCTGTTAGTCATTTTTATGTTAATATTATAAATCGCAAGTTACGGTAAATTGCATAAACTCAAAAAGTCGCAGTTTTAATGTTTAACTTAATTAATTTTGAACAAATAAATTTTGTATCGAAATTTAGATAGGATTTTTTGAATAATAATTTTTGTGTATGATATTTGCAATTTACTTACGATAGACTCCTCAATTCCATGATTGATGAAGTAGACGAGACCCATTTGACAAAACCCGTTGCCCAGAGAAGTCGCAAATTCCTTAAACTCTGGAGAATCTTTCAAACTTAGGGAATATTCCCCGTCTGAAATAATGGCACAATCCACAATTGGAATTTCTGAGTTTGTCAGTGAACCCATTTTTTATGGAAAAATGGTAAAATTAGTGATATGATGTGACTCTGGAGAATGAATGCGATGGAATGGATGGACCTTGTCATCTTTATCGCTCGACTGGATTTTAGGAATTAAATACTGACAATAAAACTCCCTCGAGTGTTGGACACGGATTTTTAAATCATTCTTTTTTTATTTTCTAACTTTTTTATTCCCTAATTCTGCGCCAAGTCAGAAGGATTTTTAAACTTTCTTGATGCTATCTTAACTAAAATTCCAGAGCTATTTTCTTGTGGAATCGGGAAGGTTTATACATATTTGTTGAAACTTTAATTCATATTTTAAAAAAATAACAATCATCGAGCAATACATTCTTTGGATAATTTCGTAGAAAGAGTTTGAAAAGTTGAAACCTTGTAGTTTCTTAATTAAATACATTTTTGAACCTTGGCTGAAATAGATTCCTTAAAATTTAAATTTAAAATACGAAAAATGTCATGTGTTTGCCAAAATGAAATTGGCTTCCTCAAAATCGAAGATATACATGTGAACAAGTTTCCTTAATACTTTCCTGATGCTGATGCGTACTTGTAAGCATTTAATTGAATGCTAAAAACAAATGAATCTACGTGGGGGGACGTGCACACCGAATTTCCTCGTTTTTTAAGGATTTGATTGAACCTAGGCTTCATTTACATATATGTACATATCCTTCCCGTTATTCATATTTACATTTCTTGACCAAGCCTGCCACTTGGTGTGTCATCAAAATCTGTAACATCCATTGCGCACGACCCGAACTGATTTTGTGAATAAATAATGTCATGCTTAATCCCAATTTATCAATATTCAGGTTTGACTGGAGTTAACAAATATTTTTGTACATGCGTCACACGACATCTCACTCGTGCTATGCTCATCGCTTATTTGTAAGTCCAGTTCATTCGCCTCACCTTGAAACTGACTGAGGTTATGTACTTGTTGCCATTGAAATCTGTTTATATGAGTATGTATTTAGGTATAAATAACCTCTTAGGAAAATGTGTAATGTTACAATTACAAATAAGCGAGTAAAGTGTAAATACATATATGTAAATATTTCCCAGGCTGCACCAACCGAGAAAATCACATGTATTATTGGTGTCCCCGGTGTCAATTTCGTGTTTGGGGCATTATTCGTGTAAATATTTTTTTAAACACGTTCGTAACACGTATTACAAAAACGACTTTCAAACGGATTCTTTATCACCAATTTTCTCGTTCATAACACATGTACAACCCGAGAATTACAACAACCCGAAACTCGTATTTTCGAACACCAGAAATTCACGAGAATTTCTAGTGTTGTTGGTCACAGAAACCTAAATGCTGCTCTCTCCGTTGTAAAGAAAGAGGGACAATTCTTTAGTTCGAGATGAGTAATGGAGAAAGCACGATCAAGAAAAATATTCCGAAAAGTAAGGCAAGGAAATTCGGATTTTGCATTAATTTCAGAAAGTGCAGAAAAAATAATACCGCTGCCCTCGTCATCCTTGCCAGAGGCACACACACAGAGTTCACCATCACCCGAATATTTGATTTTTGAAGCAGATGACATCTCGGATTATTCTGACAATAATTTATCCACGCAGTCAAATCTAAGTGATAGTGATTTTGAACAGTCTAATACGGAAAGTAGTGCAAGTGATTTAAGGGGGTGGGCACTAAAGCATAACATTACATTCTCTGCTTTAGGAGATCTGCTGGAAATTTTGAATCGACATCCTAATTTTGATTTACCGAAAGATCCTAGAACACTTTTATGCACTCCAAGATCGACTACAATTGAAAAGGTGGAGCCTGGCGAATACGTACATTTTGAGTGGATTTCATCCGTCGAAAAGTTAATTCAAGTTCCAACAGCAGACTATATTAAAATTCAAATTAATATTGACGGAATCCCCCTCTATAAAAGCAGCACAAGACAATGCTGGCCCATTTTAGCGAAAATTGTAGAATATAATCAGGTCGTTGTAATTGGAATTTATTCTGGTTTTGGAAAACCTACAAATATTAATAATTTTTTGAGACAGTTTGTCAACGAATTCAACACCATAGAGCAATCTTCGAATTTAAAACTTAAAATATCTGCAATTGTGTGTGACGTCCCAGCAAGATCATTTATTTTGGGGACAAAGTGTCATAATGGTTATAGTTCTTGTGGAAAGTGTGACATAAAGGGTGAATATTTGGATAATAGAGTTACCTTTCCACCAGGAAACTATAATTTAAGAAATAACGAAAATTTCCGATCAAAATTAGATACAGCACATCATAATCAAGCCTCAATAATAGAATTACTACCCATTGATTTAGTAGAAGATGTGCCAGTCGATTTTATGCATCTTGTGTGCCTGGGAGTGACCAGAAAATTACTATTTTTATGGGTGAAAGGAAAAAAATGTCCAGGTCGTCTGCGTCCTCACCAAGTTGACCAATTATCCACTAATTTGCTAAAAATCAAAACCTCAATACCAAAAGAATTTTCAAGTAAACCACGTCCAATTAGAGATCTCGAACACTGGAAAGCAACTGAATACAGACAGTTTATTTTATATACTGGCCCCACAGTTTTGAAGAAAATCCTTGCTCCTCAATTTTACCAGCATTTTTTGTGTTTCCACGTAGCCATCACGATTCTTGCAAATCCTAACACTTATCTGAGTAAAAATAATTATGCACAAGAGCTACTAATATATTTCGTTAATAACTTTGGTGAATTATATGGGAAAAAGTATAACAGTCATAATCTTCATAATTTACTACATTTATCCCGGGATTGCATTCGACACGGTCCCCTTGACCAATTTAGTGCTTTCCCGTTTGAAAATAAGTTACAACAAATAAAGAGATTGGTGAGATCTCCATCTCTCCCCTTGCAACAAGTTTACCGGCGGTTAGTTGAAAGAGAAAAAATAGACCTGTCCTCTTTCAAGCAGCCAGTTTGTCAAGTATCGTTTTTCCAAGTCGACATTAATTCACCCGAGTGTTTCAAAGTGTGTAAGTTTGCAAATTTCGAATTATCCAACAAATTAGGGAACAATTTTTGCAAACTAAAAGATGGAACTATAATTAAAATTCACCATTTTGTTAGAGGATCACCTTCAGAATTATTTGGACAGAAGTTTAAAAAACGTGAAGATTTTTTTCAATCTCCTTGTCCTTCTTCTTTAATTGGTGTTCAACTTATCTCCGACTTGAGTGCAGTACGAAGATTTAATATTAATTTAATCGAATCAAAATGTGTAGTACTTCCATTTGAGACTGAATTTATATGCTATCCCTTGATTCACAGTGAAATTCAGTGACTTTTTACAATGCAGTACTCTATAGTTCATTTTGTTGAAACTGACGAGGTAGAAATTATCCCAATCAATTGGCTGTCAGCAAGTAAAAATAAATGTTGGTGGCCGCCGTACAAATCTTCAGAACGCCAATCGAAGGCCGTCATGAATGGGGACACGCCAAATCAGCAAGTTTGGTTATCGTTTGGCGTAAAAGTTTTAGGCGGAGGCAAAATATTTGGTGAGTCTTTTTTATTGCATACATTGATAAAGTTATTTATAAGAAAGAAAAATGCTGTTTATTTGTTTGTTAAGGTTCTTATAATCAAGCAAAAAATAATGTTGGAAAAGCATTGGAAGAAACTGATCCGGAATTTGAGAGCGACTTGGAAGTAACTGGTCGAGGGCAACGACACAAGAAAACTGTTCATCTACCATCGCCCGGCGACTCCGATAGTGAAGAAGAACCGCCCAAAATGAAGCAAAATCGTTCTATTCCCACGAAGACAATACCGCCACCACCACAATATTTTAGTAAGTTAAAATCGCGCATTTTTTATATTTCATTGCACCAAAAAAGTAGTATAATAAATAATACTGTTTATCCAGGTTTAGTGGGAGAGGGCTTTCAATCAGAAAAGGAAGACGGCCACGAATCAAGTTTACCAGGACCGAGTGACCCCCCATCGCCAACTAATTCACAGCAATACCAAGGCACACTCTCTAGCGAGCAAGTTTTATCTAGCTCTCACGAATTGGAAAGCCGTTCGATTCCTCAGGCAGAGGACATTGATACAACTTTCGGCAGAGATAATGGCACGTCACCAAACGCAGGAAATTTAGGTAGGTGTGTGACAATTTATGTAATGTCTCAGTAATAAATAACTTGTATTTTACAGAATTCCAAAAGTGGATGGTACGTCAAATGAATGTGATGAAAGCCCAACTGCGACAACTACAGGAAAGCGTAGACGTTTTAGTGAGCAATTACAATTGGGGGACCAAGACGGGTGGTCAAAACGAAAAGTTTCCAGTGGGTTTATTACCAGTGGATGATGAGTCTGACTTGAAGAAACTCGAGGATTTCGCCAAGGCATCAAGAATCACATTGGTAAAATATTTATCAAATAATATTGCGAATTACCATGTGGCGTAATATAAGTATTATAATATAAGTAATAATATAAGTATTTATATAAGTATTATTCATGTTGCTATTTTTAACTATGCATATATTAATTGTTGCAACTTTGACAGATTACAGAACTGCAGAAAGGCATACGTGCGACCAAGGATGTAAAGATTGCTACACAGCGGATACTAGCCAAGTTGCTGACAGATAAGTATGCATCGTCATACAACTGGATTGGTTCAAGAGGACCGAAGTCACCTTTTTCAAAATCATGGATGAAGCACATTATATATGGTAAATTAGTTGTATGTGAATTAATTAAATATATAATGCGCTCCTTTAAATTAAATTCACCAATGAAATTGCTGTGTTTTCAGAGGCAATTCAAGGACTGAAAAACTTGGGCAACGCTGACGACGACGAGATTTGGGAAGCAATTAAAAATTGGCTCAAAAATTCCAACAAGCGTATTGAATCGGATAGGTAGGACAAAATGCAATATTATTTGTACCTACTTATAAAACTTTCATAATTTTTACTTTATTTAATTAGGAAAAAGTTGGAGAAGTCCAATGCAGCTCTTCCATTAAGAAATACTGGACCAGAATCAGACAATTGATTTTTTTCACAATTTTTTATTGTTATTTGGATTTAAAACTTTATGTAATGTTAATGGTCAGTAATAAATCATAATTCCCGCATCTAATTTGCAAATAAATCTCGTGTTCTGAACGTATAATTTCACTTTTTAATACGTGTTTTTTTGGGGTTATTCTCGTGATTTGGTCGCGAAACTCGTTCCTTCAACACGTGTTTAGAACGAATAAGATACGTTAAAAATCGCGACACTTGCACCCAGTTGAGCACCAAATCTATACCAGTCTCCCACGTCGCTAACACGAAAACTGGGGTCGCCAGATTCGTTAAAAATTGGTGATAATCTCGTGATTGTGCAGCCTGGGTTATGTATGAGACTTGTGGTTAAAAAAATGCATAAATACGTTTTTAGTTGAAGCATTTTAATATGCCTCAAGTTACAAACGTACATACATATGTATTTATAAAAGAGAAAGTTTGGCCGGGTCTCTACCTATTTATGCCCGGTTTGTAATTGTACCCGGATCGTGCTGTCTTCAGTCCCGTCTTCATGTAAACGGATTATCTACGGTACATACATTTATATGGCACAGTCCAATAATAAGGCTAATTCTAAAAGTACCTTAAAACTTCTATTTATAGCCGGGGCTAAAATTCAAAACCGAGGGTCACGGACCCGGCTATAATTGGAGACCGGCAACAATTAGAGACCCGGCTAAATTTTGTTCCGCCCAAAATTTTAGATGTTACAAGATCATACTGACTCAATTTGAGTTTTCTTATTTAGCAAGACATGCCATCAGTAACCCATTCACTTTAAACCTACATACATCTTTAAACGAAGCTTAGCAGGTTTTTTTAATTTTCTGTCATGATTATATCCATTATTAGCTTGAAAATATTAGGTAAAAATTAGCAGGTCAAATTACCGGTTTATTAGCATAATGTGCAACATTTTTCTTTAATCGGGTATGAACGGGTACACGGCAGACAAGACAGGCCATAATTAGAGACCCGGCTAAAATTGGGGACCCGGCTATAATTAGAGACCCGGCTAAAATCTTGAAATCCTAGTCTCTAGACCCGGCTATATTTGAAGACCGGCTATAATTAGAATAGGGCTATAAATAGAGGTTTTACTGTATTTGTGACTGGTCGCCTTATCAGATTTAAAGTCACAGATTAAGTATTTATTTGTTATTTAATTAAAGTGGTTTACCTGGTAATAATATCTTTATTATAATTTCGAAAAGTCCGTCCCGTGAAATTTTCCGTGACATTTCTGCATTCTGATTGGCTGTTGGTTTTCCTGCTCCAGCAATCAGGGAACAGATACGAATTATGATTATGATTATGATTATGATTATAATTATAATTATGATTATGATTATGATTCTGATTCTGATTCTGATTATGATTATGATTATGATTATAATTATGATTATGATTATGATTATGATTATGATTATAATTATGATTATGATTATGATTATAATTATGATTATAATTTTGATTATGATTCTGATTATAATTATGATTATGATTATGATTATAATTATAATTATGATTATGATTATGATTATGATTATGATTATAATTTTGATTATGATTCTGATTATAATTATGATTATGATTATGATTATAATTATAATTATGATTATGATTATGATTATGATTATGATTATAATCATAATTATGATTATGATTCTGATTATGATTATGATTATGATTATAATTATGATTATGATTATAATTATGATTAAGATTATGATTATGATTATGAGTATGATTATAATTATGATTATAATTATTCCCAATTTCCCTACCAACGTTAAAAAATTTCCTTAGCAACATAAAAATATTTCCTTAGCAACGTTAACAAATTTCCTTAGCAATGTTAAAAAATTTCCTTGGCAACATAAAAAACTTTCCTTAGCAATGTTAAATAATTTCCCTAGCAACATAAAAAAAAGTTTCCTTAGCAACATAAAAAATTTCCTTAGCAACGTTAAAAAATTTCGCTAGCAACATAAAAAAATTTCCCTAGCAACGTTAAAAAAATTTCCTAGCAACATAAAAAAATTTCCCTAGCAACGTTAAAAAAATTCCCTAGCAACATAAAAAATTTCCTTAGCAACGTTAAAAAATTTTCCTAGCAAAGTTAAAAAATTTCCCCGGCAACATAAAAAATTTTCCTTATCAACGTTAACAAATTTCGCTAGCAACATAAAAAAATTTCCCTAGCAACGTTAAAATAATTTCCTAGCAACATAAAAAGTTTCCCTAGCAACGTTAAAAAAATTCCCTAGGAACATAACAAAAATTCCTTAGCAACGTTCAAAAAATTTCCTTATCTGATAAGGAAATTTCTTAAATCCCTTTAAGGGATTTAAGAAATTTGCAAGTAAAAAATTCAATAACTTCTTTAATAACAATAACAAAGTTTGTGTTCAATACTGCGGCAGGATTTATTTTTATTTTTTAGAAAGGATCTATTTGTTAGTTCCTTGCTTAATTTCCCCCAGGGTTCCGGTTTTCTCCCTTTCGAAATTAGAAATTCAGTTAACCAAAACATATTTTAGTGAACCCACGTTTAAAACTAGCTAACCAAGCTATATAGTAGAAACATCTAGTCCCTACAATTGGCTACTGTATGTGCTCTAATCTCATTATGTACCAATTTGTGATGCGATAACGAAACATTTTTTTTTTGCATTTTGAGGTTGAGTGATAGTTATTACCGACAGTGATCTAACAATAATGTTAACGAACAAACCGAACCGGTTAACTAAAGTCGAGGATTGATAGAGGACGTGGGCGACGCTCTACTCCCTCACAAAATTTACGATATATTTACCACTTCCGATGACTTAACTATACCAGCAGAAACAGTGTGCGTAGCGGGACTAGTCATATTACTTCTTATTATCGAAATATCAATTAAAGGAAATTTACATTTGTATATTTGATACTCATTTACCTTTAGTACCAAATTCGATTACTTTTATAGTATTCGGGCAAGTTAAAAAGTGCTGTGGTGGCAGATGGTTATGCCTGCTTATATTCCTCTGGAAAAGAAGCAGGCCTGATCCGGAAACTTATGTCGATTGGGCAGATACAATCGCACAATCAAGGGAAACACTTAGACTACGGAAACGGGATTTCCCTTCTACACCTGTCAGGTCAGGGACCAGAAAAGTGAACGTCACTGGTTTATTAGTTCCAAAGCACCCGGTGGTAGTTGAGAGGCAGGTTCGCCAACCTAGTACATCGTATCAGACTTTGAAGTCTCTGGGCAATTGGGTGGGGCTTGATAATAAGTCGGTCAATTTGCTGGTTCCCTCTGTCCCTCGGCAAGCCGACCCTGTCTCTGACACTGATAGTAATTCAGCTCAAGGGGTTCTTGCTCCTTTTCCCCAACCCCTTAGCGATCCCTGCCAGGGATACCCCAGTCCAGGGCCACTGGGCCATTACCTTACACTTTTCTGAAATCCTCACCTACATACAAGTCACCCCCCAGAAAATGGAAACGTAAATTGACATTAGATCCTCAGGGGTCCCACCAAAGATAACGATAGTTTGTCTTCACGATTTTTTTTATGGAGGATTACCTTTGTTCCTCATGTTCCCCGTGTAAAATCAACGTCGCAATTCCTAGTCGATGGAGCAAAATAAATAAGGCCTCACTTCCGATTTTTTTAAAGAAAACAAAAATCCATAATCAATCATAACTGGTACGCAGGTTGAAACTCTTCAAAATCACTATCTATCCACTCATGTTGAAATATACATACTTCTGATCAGTTCGGGCTTGTTATTATGTGCCAAGGAGAAGGAAAATTTTCAGAAGCTAAAATCCTTGCGATGAAACAATCGATATGTAAAGAGAAATGTGAAGAAGAGTAACAGAGAAAGACACCATTACCCTTTGCAGAGTTTTAAACTTCGATAAAAAGGCAAAAAACAGTTGCAAATAGATAAACGCAAAAAAATAAATTCTTTGTTATACGCATTAGACGAAAATCCTCATTCCAATTTATGCTATATACATGACTGGAGATACACGCATTGTAGGAGATTCGAATTCGATTGCTTGAACGTCAAATTTGGAACATATAGCGTTTGTTTTGAACATAATAAAGCCAGTGAGATGAACTAAATTCACATCGGGAAAGTCGCCCAAAAAAGGAGGTCTCTGACGGGAAAGAGGCGAGCACCTGTCAACATAAAAAAATTTCCATAGCAGCATACAAAAATTTCCTTGGCAACATAAACAAATTACCTTAACAACATAAAAAAAATTCCTTGGCAACATAAAAAAATTACCTTAGCAACATAAAAAAATTACCTCAGCAGCATAAAAAAATTACCTTAGCAGCATAAAAAAATTCCTTAGCAACGTTAAAAAAATTTCCTTAGCAACATAAAAAAATTCTTAAGCAACGTTGAAAAAGTTTCCTTAGCAACATAAAAAATTACCCTAGCAGCATAAAAAAATTTTCTTAGCAACATAAAAAAATTTTTCGTAGCAAAGTTTCGCGTGGCCAGTCTTTAGGACGGGCTTATAGGCTAGTGTTGCTATAATATTTCGTTACATTGCGTAATACAACTTTGAGCCACATCTAAGCTTATTTAGCCATGTGTAATTTATGTACGTATTAATTTATAACTGAATACAGAAAATCACACCTGAAAACCGTATTTTATTCTGAAGTTACCTTTCACAAAGTTCTGTTCCCCAAATTTTTAAACAGACTCTTTAAACAGCATTTAAACCCTCAGATCTAAAAACCACATCCAATAGTGCCGTATTACTATCTTGGCGTGTATGCTGTTCGAAGAATCTGTAAATCAGGACTCCTCCCAAGGCTGCCAAAGAAATTAAAACCATTCCAAGAAATGACAACAATATTATTCCCCAGAGAATAAAAGTGGATGAAAAGGTCAGACAAGATTCGCCTGCATCACAGTTGTCCCGGTCGGCTACTTCTTTTCCGCACAACTGGACAGATTTCGGGTAATATGGAATCGTGTGAGTGAGAAGTTTCTGGACATAATAATCTCTCGATTTCCGCTCCGTTTGGAAAACATGAAATTCCTCCGTTTCTTGACACCCCTGCGAACCATAGAGGACCACGCATTGACCATAAGTACGGATGGATAAGTACTTTCCATCCTCGTTGTCCAAAGTGACGCAGCCCCCGCTGAGGTTGACGTGGGTAGCGTGGCCTGAATGTTTTTAGGAAATAAATATTAACCTCCAAAACAAGTACGTAAAGGGTGTTGATTTAAGTAGTCACGAAGGTGGGTTTTTGGCTCCAACCGTATTTAAGCATACATAACTCAAACAATTTTTACACTCTCAATAATTTTTTCGTACGATTGTTCAGTGGCGGAACTATAGATTGGGGGCCGGTACGTGAGCTAGATTTTGGGGCCTATCGAAATTTATTTTTACCAATATGGGCCTGTAATTTTTTATGAAGTTTGGCATTTGCAGTTTTACGATCATTCCTTAACCACTTCGCCCCTATAACGACTATGTGGCGTATTTGACCTTTACGCCGAGTACGACCATGTGGCGTAAGTTCCCTTGGCACCGGAATACGACGATGTGTCGTATTGACCCTTGACAACGGATACGACTATGTGGCGTATTTTCCGTTCACACCGGCCTACGACTATGCGTCGTATCCGGAAAAAATTAGGTCATTGCCTCTCCAAGCAAAGCAAAGCAAGAGTTATGAGTCAACAACCCGCCCTTTAGGCGGGATAATAAATTTTGTTAGGAAATAACATTAGAAAGGGATGCAAAATAAATTAATAGCCAAGTGGCTATATCTAGCCAACACGCCGAGTTGTGAAAACTGTTTTTTGCAAGGAAATTTCGACACCGATTTATTTCAACAACGCTTTACGATAAGATTAGAGAAATTGTTTTGCTCGCATGTAGCACAAACGGGCGTTTTGGGCGAGAAAACTAAAAGTTGGTTGAATTCCATCATTGCATGGATTTAATTATAGGCCACAAATAATCTTGCCAGTAGGGTAAACTACGTCAAAATTAATGATTACGTATCGGGTGCCGCTGAAATATCTTTTGGGCGGGAAAATTAAAAATTAAGAGATTGCAGGAATTAGTAGAATTTAATTTTCCCGCTTTAAATTGATTTCTATTCACCAGATGCGCCATAGTCTATTTTCGAGCAATTTCCTCTCACGGGATAATTATTCATTGCCATTGCTGTCTATTTAAAGTCATTGTAAGGATTTTTGGTTTTCCCGCCCAAAATCGGCTCCTAAGGCGCTTTAGGCGCTATAATCAATATTTGCGAGTTTACGTACTATTATGCAAGTATTACTCCATGGTTGCAACTTTTCATGCAATTACAATCATTTTTAAAATTCGGCGTGTTGGCTATTTTCGGCTATAAACATTGGTGGTTCGCCACAACTCAAAAATTCAAATTATAACTCAAAATCCCTTCTTGAAAGGTTATTCACATCAATTTTCATAAAAAAGTGTCCAGAATAATTCCGGTGGGAACACCATTTTTTAATTCATGGCCCAGGAATTAACGTCATGCAGTAGATAAAAATTTCGGGCTCAAGGGAGGTAAAAATTCGCGGTTACTAGGGGTGAAAGGTATGAAAAAACTCGTCCCCTAGGGTTGAAGTGGTTAAATTAAATATACCTTGCGTTATTTAGTTTTCGTTATGAAAATATTGTTGAAAATTGGAGATGACAAATTTTAAATCAAAAATCACGTTTTTGGGTATTCCGATTTTAGCAATCTCTCGAAAAACAGACTTTAAATTTTTTTTTCAAAGTTTGGTAAACCCAATTTTTGATAAATCAGATTCTGGAAATCTTTAGTAAACCGGCTTTCTATTCTTCACAAAATCGGATGTAAACCAATTTTTAATTTTAAACCTATTGTAGTGCTAATTTAAAAAAATTTGCCAATTTAATAAGAAAAGATAAAACAAAATTATAATGAAATCTAAAATTGACAGGGATGCTCAAAGTATACTTTTAAAAAATACAAATACACTTCACAGCCCAAATTGCATTTGTAGTTTCAAATTACTTCGAAAATTGTTTGCAAAATGCATTTGCATTTTCAAAGTGCTTCGATTATTTTTTGTATTTAATTTTTGTACTATATTTAACGTTTTGGAATGCAAAATACTCCTCGTTTAATGGATTTATTATATCCAAAAAATTAAACATGGTTTTTTTGTATTATTAATAGTAAATCCGATTTTCTAATCTTAAAAAACAAGTTAAGCCACAAATTATTTCAAATTCACATTAAACAAATGTATGACTTGAGCGACAATAGTGGGATTAGGCTTTCCCACGGGTATTTGTATTTTCAAAATACTTCGATTATTTTGCATTTAAATACAAAATAGAAAATACGTATTTTGTATTTTCAAAATGCATGTACATATTTTGACCATCCCTGAAAATTGGCAATCTGGTATTTGACAACTACATTAGCTCCGGCAGAGTTTGTGCACAAATTTGTTAAGACCATGGTCTTAACAAATTTAAACCCGGGTTTTCAGTATATAAAACCGGTTTTGCACAAAACCGCTGTGTGAAACAAACCTTGCAAAACTTAGAACACAGGTTTGTTTCTTAAAAATCTTTTGCTTTGCAAAATCGGATTTCGAATGTGTAAAACGGTTTTTTAAATGTAAATTTTCGATTAACGATTTTCTGTTAAATCTATATCTGGTGCTAAATCGGTGTTCCGATTTTCAGCTCTAGTTATAGAGCTTTTCAAATTTTGTTGAAACTTCAAATAATTTGCACAATTTCAAAAATTTTTTTAAAATAAAGAAATATTCATTCCAAATCCATGCAACATTTCATGGAAAATTCTATAGTATAAGTTCTTTCAACAAATCTTCAAACAAATGAAAACATTCCAAAAAATTAGAGAATCTTAAAGTAATATTTGCATAACTTAAAAAAATTCTGCACATTAATACAATTTACACAATTTCAAAAAATTGATAAAATTAAAACACTTGGCACATTTTACAATGTTTGCACAAGTTAAGAACATTTCTATAACTCCAAAAAATTTTACAAATAAAAATAGCCGCTTGGGGGCGTAAAGTTTAACAGATTTATTAGTTCATTTGATCCTTATTAAACTGGTTCTGATATTATTTTTTTGGTTTCTTTAGAAATTATGTAGGTTATTCTTATTGAACAAATTTTATGCCATAGTCGGAGGGCCGGGGGCCGTTTCCTTGCGGGGCCGATACGTGGGACGTACCCTACATACCCCTATTTCCGCCAGTGCGATTGTTACGGGTGGAGTGGAGGTACTATGCAATTCTACTGGCTAGATAATAATTTATTACCCAAAAGTAACATACATGCTATGGTTAAATCCTGCTTAGCCCCCAATGTCTAAGCTCTCTGATAATAAAAATGTTACCGACACCGGAGGCAATTTCTTACTCTCAGAATATGTACAATTTATAGCTATAATCTTATTATGGGGTAGAAATTCCTTGTACCTCCGCCAGTAACAATAATTTAATATCACTAAATTATTGAGAGTGTATAGTATTTCGCTTTGAAGTTTAAGATAAGTCCTCATCATAAGCATCGTAAGATTCGCCAAAAGAAACAAACCTTTTTGACTTACAAGTTTTCAAATATGTACATATTTATGAAAATTCGGGACGAATTAATTCAACACGTATTCCGGTTTATAAATTTAAGAGTTTCTACAACTTACCATAGTATCCAGTATAGTCGTAAAACGTGACCACGTTTTTCTCCCGGGTTCCCACAGGGTTTGGATTGACGTGAGGCACTGATTTATGGCAGAATGCGCCACATCGAGATAGCGCCAATGCTTTCATGGGGAACAACTTCCAGATGGTAAGGTCGCTAAGTCCTAAATACCCGGGACGCAATTGGATTCTTTCCCCGGCACAAGAGGGCAGTGCGTGCAGCTCGATGCATTCATTTCCATCATCCCATCCATCCCCCCTGATTTTCACGCCAACTGGACCCCAGGTATTTTGGGGTATTAAGAAACAGCCATCCCCATCCACGTGGACGGTTGAATTGTTCCCTGTGGAGTGGATTAACTTAGCATATTCATAAAATATATAAATCTACAAAAAGAATGGTGATGTCACAATTTTCGAATAACTATGAACAAAGTTTTGCATCTTGAACCCATCAATTTGGTCGACTCATTGAATTTAATATTAATTGTTCAAGTGGAAGGTCGCAGGTAATGCGCAGGTTTGGCGGAGATATTTGCATCCAAGGCGGGAAAAATTCGCAGTAAATTGGGAAAGTGGAAAATTTGCCAGCCTTTGGGTGCGTTTTCTCCTCTTTTTATGCAAATATCTCCGCGAAACCTGCGCATTGGCAGATAGTTCCATTTGCAAGTTTCATACTAATTATATTTGTGATCGATTGACACTAATTTCGTCCAAATCTGTGAGCATACGTTGGGAGACCTCCACTGTTAGTGCAGGAGGGAAAAAAATGAGCTGAAACGGACGGACGGACCGCCAAAAATATGTACATATATAGTATTCCCATACAATAGGTTTCATGACTTAATAAAAATTTATACGAAATATGAGTCTAGATTTTTTTCTAAAATTCAAATTAAATTCTTTCAAGAACAGATGGATATCTATAAACATAGATTCCACAAATTTATTGTAATTCTTTCAAAAATTTGCCAAAATGTAGTCTGATCCTTGTATTATTGGAAAATGCTAATTTTTCTGAAATATCAACTCTCTCCTGGAAAAATTGAGTGTCAAGTTGATAAAAAAAATCGTAGTTGGATTTCTGTTACATACTGTACGCTAGCGCATAAGCCCGTCTCCCGCCGGGCGAGAGTGAATTTGATGTCAAAAATTCCACCAATTAATATTATTGCTTTCTCTACTTTCACTTCCGTCACGGAGAATTATTTTACTTCCGTTGCAGACAAACATTTCCAGCTTATAATATATGTAGATACTGTACATTTAGATATATATATAGTATACCTGAATAGCTAAATCCTGCAAATAGGGTCACCTCAACCCGGCATTTTTCATCCCCCTGCCAATTTCTATGGTCACACCGATCCAATGTGTAAATCTTTTTCGATTAAATCTTCCCCCAACCACTGAAAAGTTTTTGGTTCTTGGTGACCCTCAGGGAACACATCGGTCCGAATAAACCACCCGGTGCAATTTTTTTGCGGGTAAATATTAAAACATTGTCCTGCCGTTTGCAGCCTGGTCACTCTTCCCCCCGGGGCAGATGGGATGGTCGGATTACAATAAGAAATGTTGTAATGGGTCAAATTCCCACGATTTGCGCGCTCACTCGTGCCCTGAATATTGATAATGTTTGAATCCGTGGCACACCACGTGGACACAAAAACTGTCGCTATTATGGAGGCGATTATGGAGTACAATTTTAACCGATTTGTGGCCACGGGAAGAGGAGAATTTCGCATTTTGGATAAGTACGTATGTAATTCTTATTTATTTTAATGGTGTTAAATTAAATTAAGTTTCACTTGTACATAATTGCAGCAGGGATTGGGATAAGTGCTGGAAATATTTATGTACACTCTGAATTAAAATAAGCACAATTTACTCAAGTTGTGAAAAAAGAGGATGACACAACCAAAGGGTAAAATCTGTCCAACAGGTGGACAAATTTTATACAAATTTGGACAAATTTTACACAACCTTGGATAAATTTTACACAAATTTGAACAAATTTTACACAACCTTGGATAAATTTTACACAAATTTGAACAAATGTGGCCAAACTTTGGACAAAATTTACCTTTTTCTTGCGTCATTCCCACTTTTTACACAACTTCGAGTAAGTTTTTCCTATTTTTATTTAGAGTGTAGAGTGATTATTTACGTAATGGGGGCTAATTGTAACACTTAAAACTGTTCATTAATGACTAAATTTGTGGAAGACGTGGAGGAAAAAATTACAGTGGGAAAATAGCACGATTTACTAAAATCAATACATGAGGAGGTGAGAATTCCACATTTTGAAGTTCTTTGTGGAAAGTTAAATGAACATGTGTTCCAAGTCCGGCTGACATTGGGTTAATAAATTGAATAAAGTGAGTATTTAACGCGGAGATGAATTATGCATATGTAAATATGCGACCTACTTCTCGGCTGGACATGGTCCACTTGCTTAACATTGACCTTTTACAACACAGATTGTGAGTTGACGATTAATTCAAGCATGTCAAGCCAACTTATGTATGAATGAATGAATTGAAAATATTGTCATGAACTTGTCTATGCAAATATTTGCATACATCCAAATACATATGGTTACATATATTTGTAAGTCAAGCATATGTATATTTGAAAATGAAATCCGCCCATTTCCAAGTAAATTTGAGGTTTTTGTTAATGCAAAGTTGATTTTTGTTATTGTAGAAGTACGAATTAATTATAAGGAAAAAATAATACACTTGTTAACATCAAATTAGGTAACACGAGACTATCCAAGTTTATTAGGTAAATTTAGAGCAAACTAAATATTACATAATCATTTGTTTAATATATTGTACAAGGAAGTATTTACTTACTTGTCGTGAAACAAATCTTTACGTAAATATAACTACACCCCAAACATAACAAATGTGAAGTTATCATTTACATGCAAAGTTTTGTTCAACAAGTTTAATGACACTTTAAACATTAGATTTATAGACCACATCCAACATGGCCGTGTTATTACCCTGGTGCACATGGTTTACGAAGGATTTAAAAATCAGAACTCCGCCTAAAGCTGACAGAGAAATTAAAATAATTCCAACAAAGATCAACAGTATAATTCCCCATAAAACCGAGAAACACGACAACTTTAAACAAAATCCGCCTGCATGACAGTCATCTCGTACTTCAAGCTGGTCATTTCCACATAACCGGATAGATTTCGGAAAATATGGAGTCGTCCCGGTCAGAAGTTTCTGGACATAATACTCCTTCGACTTTCCCTCCGATTGCAAAACGTGGTGTCCCCGCGTGTCTTTGCATTCTTCTAAAGCGTAGAGGACGACGCATTGGCCGTGGGTACGGATGGATAAATATTCTCTACGTTGCTTATTCAGAGTGACGCAACCTCCACTGAGGTTGACGTTGGTAGCGAGGCCTGGAAATTTTCAGGAAATATAGATTATGGTCTATCTATAAAAAAATGCGTATTTTTTTCTACAAGATTTCATATTTGGTGGACGCTACATTACTTATGAATTTTGAGTTTGAACCTTTCTAGCAATTCTAAATGTACATATTTTTAAAAGTAAAAATGTTTCGAAAACTTTGACAGGAAACTGTACAGTAAAATGACGCGTTTTTAATAGATGAACCATATCTGTAGGAACTAATGCTTATCAACTTTGCCTTAATTTGTGACCCTGCGACTCAGCATAGTATCCAAACTCGTCATAAAATGTGACCACATTTTTTTCCAAATCTGTTGGACGATCTGGATTGATTTGGGGTACAGATTTATTGCAAAATGCCCCACATTGTGATACAGCCAATGCTTGGTAAGCATAGTTTTCGCCTCCCAAGTTCCACTTGGTGAGGTCGTCAAGTTCGAAATATCCGGGCCGAAATTGGGTAAATTCCCCGCTACAGCTGGACGCAGAGTGTAGCTCGATGCAAGCATTTGCATCCCCACTGATTTTCATGCCAGATGAGTGATATGAATGTCGTGTTATTAAGAAACAGCCGTCCCCATCGACCATGATTGTGGATGTATTCGCTACGGAGAAAAATGCAATTTATAGAAAACTTACATAAAATAATTGTGCACCTTAAATTGTTACTTTGACGTGCAGAGGTGTGCAAAATACTAATTTTAAAAAACAACACCTCCATATTTTTGGTGGAAGATCATAAATAAAAAATCCAGCCTCCAAGGCTTACTTATGTCGTGAAGACCTCGGCGCATACATTTATTTAAAGGTTACTTATGTTGTATCAGTCACATAAATATATTGGAAAAATATCGTATTGGTCTGGATATGAACTCCAAACCTGAGCATAGGGATATCAATTTATTAGCTCTTGTGACAATTTAATACCAAGTCGGTGCCAATTGTAATTACTCGATGACAAATTTGTATCCACGGCGGTAGATTCACATACGCTTACTTTTTGGTTATAATCGTAACCCCATTTCTAAGAGTGTGTACATGTGCTATATGTAAATAGGTACCTTTAAAGTCGTGGTACTCATAGAAGGTGACCTCAACCGAGTGTTTTTCATCGCCCTGCCAATTTCTCGGGTCACACCGATCAAAACAAGGGCCGATTGATCCTATGCGCAAATCCTCCTTGATCAAGTCATTCCCCGTCCACTGATATGTTTTTGAAAGTAGCGCCGTGTCGGACAACATGCTGGCCCGAATAAAGGACCCGGTGCAATTTTCTTGCGGATAAATATTAAAACATTCTCCACTCGTTACCAGCACACCAAAGTTTCCAATTGGGATGGTGGGACTACAATGGGTTGTGTGATAGGTTGGAATTTCCGGATATTCTTGAACGAATTCGTGCAAATCACTAATTCAAACAATGCCTGAATCTGTCGCACACGTAGGGACAGCAGGAAACATCCATGGTATGGAAAAGTAGTAAAATTTGAATGAATTTGTTTACATGATAAATGGAAAATTTGTAATTTTTGAGGTGGTTTAATTGTGGAAAATTAAATAACTGTGTGTATGGTTATTTATTAGCAGCTGAGATGAAAATATGCAGATGTAAATGTAAATATGCAAATATCAATATGTCGATTTGTGCGCATATGTATCTGCCCATGGTGAGGCTGACCTCTGACCTTTTTACTACACAGAGAGAAGAGTGTAAGTTGAGTTTTAACACATTCATCAAGTTACCCTGCGGAATGTATGTATGTAAATTAATATGAATTAGTTTATGCAAATTAGCACATGGTTATGTTATTATTGATAATCAAGGGTTTTTAATATGCCAATTTCGTTGGATTTATAATTCTTCGATTTGTCGTACATAGTTCCGGGTCATAGTTTAATTAGATTTTTTCAAGATCACGAGTGCTGAATTTCACAAAAATCACATAGTGTTGGTATGTATCACGGTGCAAAACCGGAAGTTAGTATGGTTTCCATGTAGAACTATGTCATTTTCATATAATCAGTCTGCGTGAAAGTGGATTAGACCGTTTTGCATTATAAGGCATATATTTAATTGCAAATAATGATGTAAGTTTTGTATCCGAAATGGGAAATAAGATTAAATATTTTCAAAATTCAGTACATACATAGAAATGAATTTTTAAAATGTTTACTTCTTAAGGAATATTTTACAAATATACCGCACCAACGAAAGTAGAATTCTCCCCAACGGAAAACTTCATTACCTTATTTTTAGAAATCAAAGTATTTTGTTGAATATGATAAATAAATTGGTTTTACGATTGGGCGAATAAATTAATTTTGGTTGGGCTAAGGTACAATTTCGTTGGACTGTTTAATTTGACTAATCTGTAGATATACGCGTATATTTGTGATTTTTATCTACTTCGTGATTTATGATTTCATCAAGACAAAATCCAACCGTTGTCATGGTGACGTTTGTCTCCACATTCTGGATGGCGTTGTACACGATACATGCGTACTTTCGTAACTAAACATCTCCGCATTTTTAAAGTAAATGGATTAAATAATTTTTCTTGATACGGTTAGGACATTTAAAATTTGGGACGAGACTACGAAAGCTTCACGATTTTATCCAGTAGAGCAAATTTCAAGCAAACTGAATATTAAGAATGTGTGATGTATGTAACTATTTATCATGAAACACAACTTTGAAACCCTTTTATCACACCTGAAACTGCATCTTACTTATTCTTAAACTATCTTTCACAAGGTTTTGTTTAACAACTTTTACGACTGTTAAACAAACAACATTAAACATTAGGGACCTCAGATTTATAAACCACATACAGCGTAGCCGTATGACTACCCTGGTTTTCGAATAATTTGTAAATCAGAATTCCTCCCAAGGCTGAAAGGGAAATTAAAACCATTCCATAAAATAAAAACAATATGCTCCCCAAGAGAATAGAAGTAGACGATAAAGTCATGCAAAATCCGCCTGCATCACAGTCGTCTCGATCTTTATAATCCGCTTCCTTCTCGTGTTTCCCACATAATCGGATAGATTTCGGGTAATATGGACTCGTGCCTGCGAGAAGTTTCTGGACATAATAATCTCCCGATTTTCCATCCGTTTGCAAAACATGGTATCCCCGGGTTTCTTTACAACCTTCTAAAGCGTAGAGGACCACACAACGACCGTAAGTTCGAATGGAGCGGTGGAATTTCTTCTCGTCCAACTTGACGCATCCAGCACTTAGGTTGACGCTGGTGGGGTGACCTGAAAATTTTGAGAAAACTAATATTAGGATCCAACTATGGAATCCAAAATCGGTTCTTTCGATTTTGAAAAATCGGTTTTCGATTTACTGGAAAAACGGTTTAGAATTTTAAAAAAGCGGTTTTGAAAAAAAACTGGTTGCTACACTTTCGAAAACCTGTTATCGGTTTTTAACAAAACCAAGTTTTTTTAAAGCTAATGTTTAATGTTTCTTATTCTTAAGACAATTATTAATTGTTATGCAAATATTTAATAGCTTATTCTCCGGTGTACATTTAATTTTAATTTTGCACTCAATTTTTGGTTATTACATTTGCAAACTTTTTAAAATTTGAACTAAAACCGATTTTAAGAACTTCTTTTGCGCAGAATTGAAAACCGGTTTCCCCAAAATTTGAAAACCCAAATAATCGTAAAGCCTATAGTTAAAAATTCTACAATTTTGGACACCCTACATCCGACCAAGTAAATCTTATAAATTTTATTTTGATTCCCTCCAACTTACCGTAAAATCCAAAATAGTCATAAAACGTGACCATATTTTTTTCCAGGGCTGTCGGAAGTGGATCTGGATTGATGAGAGGCACTGATTTATTGCAAAATGCGCCACAACGAGATACAGCCAGGGCTGCGTCAGCATCGTTCGCGTCCCCCAAGTTCCAGTTAATAAGGGAGTTCAGTTCGATATATCCGGGCCGAAATTGGGTGAATTCCCCGCCACAGCTGGGCGCAGAATGTAGCTCGACGCAAGCATTGGCATCCCCACTGATTTTCATGCCGGATGAGTGATATCCACGTCGTGTTATTAAGAAACAGCCGTCCGTATCGACCATGATAGTGGTTTTATTCCCTAAGGATAATAATGCGGTTTATAGAAAACTTACAATGGAACCTTTTTTCAAGCTACACCGGTATCTACTGGCGAGTCATTTCTAAAAATCAAGCTAAGAATTTAGCGTCACATAACACTTATCTTTCCGCTTATCTTTCTGAATAGCCCATTTGAAGAAAAATATTGTAGGTCAAGGTTCACATGAGTGCTCAGTTGAGGAAAAATCAAGAGAAAATTGGCTAAAAAATTGAACTTTAACGTCATTATTTTTCTTCAAAAGGGCTATTCTACGGAAAGAGAAGAGCTATGTGACTCCAGATTTTTAGCTTGATTTTTGGAAGTAACTCGCCATTGGATCCGGGTGTAGCTTGAAAAAAGGTTCAATTGTTACTGTATGCGTAAAAGAAGCACTTTACCGTCCAAGCGATTGTCCTCGTAGAAAGTGACTTCCACGGGTAGTTTTTCATCGTTCTGCCAATTTCTCGGGTCACACCGGTCAAAACAAGGCCCCACTGAGGCAATGCGTAAATCCTCCTTGATCAAGTCATCCCCCACCCATCGGTTCGGATCGGTTTCTGGATCGTATAAAATCCGAACGAACATGTTGGCCCGAATAAAGGACCCGGTGCAATTTTCTTGCGGGTAAATATTAAAACATTCTCCACTCGTAACTAGCTTGTTTATTCTTCCGCTCGGTGCGGTGGGGATAGTAGGATTATAGTAGGTCGAACTTTCAAAAGGTGCTCCATCAAAGGGGGGCAGACCCTGAATTTGAATAATGTTTGAATTTGTGGAGCACTCCGTGAAGACCAGAAATGTCGACGTGATGGTAAAGTAGAGCAATTTTAATGGGTTTATGGACATGATAAATGAATGGAAAATTTACAAGTTTTCGATGTATGTAATTTGTAATTTATAATTGTAATTGTGGAAAATTAAATGGAAACCACTTTAGCAGCTGGGATTGGGAGAAATTTTGGGACGTAAGTAAGTAAACAGTGAATATGAAATGAGATACATAAATATGCAGATATGAGCCACATTTACATATGTATATCTGGCCATGGTAATGCTCCCCTTTGACCCTTTACTACATACATACACAGAAGGAGAGTGCGAGTTGACGATAAAATGTAAGCACATTCGTCAGGTTAGGATACATATACTTTAGTCCTCAATGGAAAGTAATGTGAATTAGTTAATGCAAATACTAGGTGGCCCACTGAAACTGTAAGTGAAATGAAACCCTGTGGCTTCAACAGTTTTTATGTTACGAATTTCGAGTTAATTTTAACCGAAAGCCAGTTAATTTCTGAGTAGAAAACAATTTTTAGTTTTCGAAATTTCCTCCCCTGCCATTAATGCAGCGCTGAGGAAACCGCCTGCAGTTCTCCGCTGAAGCACGCACTAATTCCTGGGCAAAGTGTTCCATTCCGTGGTCAAAAATTTTTTTCCGATGTCTACACTTCTACGAGGCTTAGAACACACATTTGCCCCTAACTTTGACCATTTTTCATAATCCGGAGACTCAAATCCAGAAAGTAGAATTACCATTTCCGAGAGGAGGAAAAGTTCGGAATTTTGTTTTTTACCCACGCTTGGGTCATTTTTTGCACTATAAGCTGATTCCTAGTCCTACTGCAAGGTCCAGTCGACTTCAATGAATTGGATCTCACTTAGGGGATGTACCGCGGACTCGAAAACGTATTTTAAGAAATTTGATCCCCCCACCTTCCCCCCATTTTCAACAAAATGTAGAGAAATTGCCCCAATTAGCTCCCACCTGCCAAAATCATCACAAAGCTTGGATAATGTGGCTTTCTGACCTTTTGTCTATATTGGGGGATGTCTCTGACAGATTTGGCGTAGATAAGGCCAACTCGCTTGTTAAAATATTTTTCCTATGTGAAAATCTCCTCATCTGTAAATAGAATCCTCGTCACTTTTTCTGAGCGTACCGCTTGAAGTCACTCCTGGGTTTCTTTAATCTGGTTTCCCTTTGGGGGATGGTCGGCATGTGGCAAGTACCACATTTCAAAGTCCTAAGTCTAAGGTTCAATTTAAGCACTCATTGAATAATCTGCTTCTACACTGTCAGCTGTGAGGTTGGTTTCCGTTGGAATTTCGTGAATTTCTTCGGATTCCATCCTTCAGCGCCTTCATGATGGGTGTGGTCCTTGTAGGATTTCAAAATTTTTTTCTTCGACTGTTGTTAGTCCACCCCGCCCCCATGAACGTCTTTATAGTCTGTTGGGCTAAATTATACGGCTCGTTCGATTCCTGCCACACTTTTAAAATTCGCCATTTCTCTCCCCATTTTTGTAATGAAAAATTTTCGCCGCCCGCTTCCATTCAACATTTTCCATGCGAATTTGCATTGCAAATAGTAAAAACCTGATTTATGGTACTTATGCAAAATCGCACGGGGAATCCAATGCAATCATCAGATTTTCATTATCTCTGTCGGTTTCGAAGAAAACAGCCACTTACAGTTACAGTGGGCCCAGTATGAATGTACTCTGCCATTCCAATTCTGTTCAACTCGAAAAGAACTTTGGGGCGAAAGCGTCGAAGTAAAAGAAAGGCGTCCAGGAACGACGTCATAAATAAATTTAAACTTTTGACATAATATAGAAAACAAATAAAATTATTTTTCTTATATTTTTTTATATCTTACCTGTGTGACCTGTTATTAACGGGTGGTAAACCAAGAATTGTTTTACCGTGTCCGTCTATCTGTCTTCATTCTAATTCCAATTATTAAAAACTTGATGTAAGTAATGCCAATTATTAAAATAAATACATATGTAAATGCTGGACATTTTTGAAAGGATTGGTTACTTTCTTACTTTTATTTTTCATTATCACCAAATTAATATAAAGTAGTGCTCGTTATTGCCATGGCCTTATACATGTACCGACATGTTTTATTTGTACAACAATCCCAGTTTTCTTAGAGTATACATAGCCATGTACGACACCTTTCGTTATTAAAGATTTATGTAGAATTTAGGAGTATGTATGCACATATGCAAATACCTACGCAAGTTAATAAATTTTGTGCACGTAACAAATCATATTTAGGTACCAAGTTTGCTCATGAAGTGTTTAATATGTCACTGAAGACGGGATTGATTCTTTACTTAATCGAGCTAGAAGCTCTGATCCGAAATTTGTTCTTTTAGTGCATGTAAGTAAGTAACGCTAATCAATATGGGCCACAGATTTAACGACATTTCCCAGCCTATGTTTTTTGTTTGCTGCATTTTTCCACTTCTCCTGCAGGAAATTAGATAATTGTACAATAACTGATGTCAGTTTTAAATACGTTTTAACGATCATACTCCATTCATACCGGCGACACTCAAACATTAAGTCTGCTAAGGTTAAACATATCAGTACTCCACAAATCATAAAAACTGTTATAATCCTTCCATCCAGCTTAACCGGCGAAACAGCGTGTAGTGTATCGTTTGCAACGGGTTTTCTACGTAGCCAGGTTTTTTGCGCCATTTCATTTGTCAGCCTTAAATAAATTCCTGAATACACCAAGCTCTGGAAATTTCTTTGCACGATAGAAATACCACTGGACGTAGTACTTCCTGGATAATCTGGGAATATCCAGACAACATATCTCGGTTTTAAAGTGTACTTCCAAAATAAAATTCTTTTGATGGATAGTTTTTAGCAAGGAAAGCCCTTTCGGCCTGAACGTATTGTAAGGTTGACACAAATACGCTTTTTTTCTCGCAGTTTGTAATATCCTTCTCGACCAAGGCTTGTAAGGCGCTTGTAGAATAGTCTCCTTTGCTTGCATTGAACCGCTTTGGAAGTGGGTCATGAACCGGAAAAGAAGGAGGAACAGTACTTGCTCTCTGGTTAAATCTACAAAGGTTCTCATTATGGAAACTATGTTCTCAAAGATTGATGCCATATCACAATGCCAAAAATACGGTGCAAACCCTCTACAACCCGTTGCCATCGGGGTGGAAAGAATACTGTAACACGTGTCTGATGCATACACATTTGTAAAGTTTGGTGGAGGTGCCCTGTATCCTATCCCCCAATATGCCACATAATTGTCGAATTCAACAGTTTTGTTAAACAGAGTAGTATTAACAGAAACATCCAGAATGTGGCGATTGTGACATATCAGATCCTCAAATATTTTAGGCCGTAGATTATGCAATGGCGCATTTAGTTGTGAAACCATTAGTCCGCTGTAACAATTTATCAACAAAACTGCGATCGGACCCCATACAGCGAATATGATGCGATAGAACAACTGCTTGTCAATAGATTTTGGAATCGAGGTAAAGTCGTCAAACAGTAGGGAAATGAAAGCTAACGAAACGGCAAACGAGGCTCGCCCAGTGTTCAAGCAGATATATGTGGAAAGGATGATACAGGTTAACGATAAACTTATAATTAAATTCATCCATAACATCGGTTGAAATGGTGCAATATAAAAATCAAAACTTAGATAGTGTTCTGCGTAACAACTAAGAAATTGATAACCAGTGGAATGCGTGAATTCTGAATGAAATGGGGGGGGGGGAAAGACAGTTGTCATCCTCCACAAAGATCATTGGATATTTATGCTCAAGTCGATTCAAAGAAATGGTCGCATTTGTCTGTCCTATTACAATTACTGCTATGTAGTGTGGTATGGAAATGAACACATCACGGTTGAATGGATTTAACGTTGGAGGTGGCAATCTTTCCACTCCCAATACGCCCCGATGGCTGTCCATAGATATTACGTTGAATCCTTTCGGTGGAGTCACTAGTTTTTTATAACCCAACAAAATTCTTCCGTCATCTATAAACTTACAGTTGTAATCCTCTCTATTATTATAGAACACACTAATTATTCTTACACATAACTGAACGCCTCGCTCGGATACTAGCATAACGAGCAAGTTTCCAAACTTAAATGTGAATATATTCAAATTCTTTAGCAGATCGTCCATCTTCAAAATGGTTGGCACGATTGCATACAAATTGCTGAGCAAAGTTATAAAATGCCACCGGTCACGTTCATCGTATTCGCATTCTGTGCAAGGTGATAAGTAATGGTACTGGAAGGATATACGATACCAATTTGCAAAGTACATAGACTCGTCGGGAATGTTTTGCTGGCGGAATAATGACTTCGAAATCCAGATACTAATTTTATTGGGACCAGGGCGACATCGCATAACGTCTAAGTTGTGTGACAGACCAGTGATTTCGTTCCTTAGCTGCATCGGTAAATTAATTGTCGTCATAGGGAGAACGCTATTTTGGAGGAAGCTAAAGTGATTCGAGGAAAGGTCATCGTGCAAAATCTGGATGTCGAATTCTGGATGTTCAATATGTTCGAGAAATTTTTTTACTTCGAGCACCGCATTTTTTGAAGTCACAGAATGACAGAAAGTGTCCAATGGGCAAAAGAAAATGTTAAATATTAGTGCGAGAGAGGAAACCGTCCCCATCCCTGCGTACCTGGTGATTATCATCTTCCAGAGAAATGTTCCGCTGAGTCACTGAATATCTTCAAACTATAATTTGTGGAATCATATTGGTACCACTATTGAAATTTAGTTCTTTTATTACATTTGTGATCAATCAACACTATCAGTTCAATCAAGATCTTAAAGCAATGTGCTGCAAGTTAGCCGTGGCCGAGATGCAATTTAGCCGTAGCCGTGGCCAAGCCGAACAATTTCAAATCACCCCAAAAATTTCACTTTACCCCAAAAATTTCATTTTACCCCAAAAATTTCATTTTACCCCAAAAATTTCATTTCACCCCAAAAATTTCACTTCACCCCAAAAATTTAATTTTACCCCAAAAATTTTGTTTACCCAAAAAATTTCATTTTACCCCAAAAATTTCACTTTACCCCAAAAATTTCATTTTAACCCAAAAATTTCATTTTACCCCAAAAATTTCACTTTACCCCAAAAATTTCATGTTACCCCAAAAATTTCATTTTACCCCAAAAA